TTTGTCATAACCTATATAGTTGTTTTGGTTCCCTAGCGCTGCTCTGACAGGGATATACCACAAATGGAATGGCTTGAACAAACAGAAGTTTATTCTCTTCCAGTTTTAGAAGCCTTAAATCTGAGTTCAAAGTGCCAGGCTCTAGGGGCTGGGTAAAAACCCCTCAACCTTGGACTTCAGCTCTGCCTCCTGCTCCCAGCCCACTGAAGCTTGAGGCTTTTCTTCGCTCAGACAGCTGCTGGCTGCTGAGGCTGACAAGCCTAAGGTTGACAAGTAAAAAGGCACAGTCCCAATGTTAGCAAACAACATGGCAGGCCATTAATTCAAGTCCAGAAGAAGTCCCAAGATAGGAAGGGCATGGAAGGCCATTGAACAACAACTTGGCTCCATGCAGGGTTCAAGCATACCAAAAAGCTAGAGACCAATCCCAAAGCTTCTCTTCATATACGGGAAGTGGACTACATCCCTAAAGCAGCTAGTCAGCTGCTCATGGCAGATTCTACCGTGGAGCTGATTGCCAGTCTCATCATGAGGAATAGCTACCTTAAGCTGCCCAGCCACTCAACTAGGCCCAGCCAAGTTGACAACAACCTTAACTACCACAATAGTCGAATGCCTTTGCATAGTCAATAAAACACAGGTAAAAATCTTTGTGGTATTCTCTGCTTTTAGCCAAGATCCATCTGACATCAGTCATGATATCCCTCATTCCACATCCTCTTCTGAATCCAGCTTGAATTTCTGGCTGCTTCCTTCAATGTACTGCTGCAACCATTTTTGAATTGTCTTCAGCAAAACTTCACTTGCATGTGATTTTAATGATATTGTTCAGTAATTTCTGCATTCTGTTGGATCATGTTTCTTTGGAGTGGGCACAAATATGGATCTTTTCTAGTCAATTCCAAATTTCTTGGCATAGATGCATGAATGCTGCCAGCATTCCATGAGTTTGTTAAAACATCTCAGTTTGGTATCCCATCAATTCCTGGATTCTTGTTTTTTGTCAATGTCTTCAGTGCAGCTTAAAACTCTTCCTTCAATACCATCAGTTCTTGATCATATGATATGCTACTTCATGAAATGGTAGAATGCTGACCAATTCTTTTGGGTACAGTGAGTCTGTGTATTCCTTCCAGCTTCATGTGATGCCTCCTGCATCGTTCAATGTCTTGCCCATAGAATCCGTCAATGTGATAACTCAAGACTTGAATTTTTTCTTCAGTTCTTTCAGCTTGAGAAATGTTGAGAATACTCTTCCTTTCTGGTTTTCTAACTCCAGGTCTTTGCACATTTCATTATAATACTTTACTTTGTATGGACAACTCCCACTTGCACCTTAATGTTATGTAAATTTGTCCTCACTCTGAAACAACTGGACCAACCACTACTGACAACAAATTCATCATCTTCATTTGCTGCCCATGCAGCTTTTAAATCCTTGAGATTGCCTTGAGCCTTTTCTTGCACTAGTAAGGTTAAAGAAGAACAGTATGCACCTGTTCTGACTTACCTACAAATTCTTAAAGACATATGAATGGATCTTTTTTGTAACCCACAGACTGACTGTATTTAAATCAAGACCAAACAAGAGATCCAAGGTACGATTCCTTGGTATAATTCAGTCTTGGTGAATGTCTCCATACTTGAGACTAGTTTTATGGATTTAACTTCACACTTAAATGTCCAAAAAGCTTACATTATTTTTTAATTTTTATTTTAAGAACTTGTTTTGCATTCAACGTAACGCGTACATTTAGTTTCATTCCCCCATTTGCCATGTCCAACCCTAACCCAGTCTCCTCCCCTCCCTGCTCTGTAACCCTCCCCCGTAACCCTCCCCCTGTATCCCTCATGTTTATGCACTCCTGTTTGTCCTGCACTTCCTCAATTTGAATGTTGGTCCTCTGGTGTTCCATGGTCTATTGCTCTAAGGGATGTATTCCCATAGAGTATGTGGGTGCGTCATCCTCGGTTGAGAGGTCTGCATGTACATCTTGTTAACTATTAGGCTGAGAGCCTGCCCCTGGGGGTGAATTTTATTCCAGGCGGAGAATGTATTCCAGGGCCATAGTATTGGTAGTCTCACCCGATTTCATCTGACCAATAATTCTGGTCATTATTGAGTTTTTGGATTTTGTTCCATGTTTTCCCTCCCACTCTACCCAGGATCTCCAGATTTGATCCTTTCCTGAATGGTTGGCATTGGTAGGTAGGCACCATCTAGTTCTTCTGGTCTCAAGGGCCATCATGTCCTAGGGCTGATTGCTTCTAAATGCCCCCCCCCCTTTTTTTTGCATTCTTCTTCACTTCTGACACTAGGAGACCGTTAGCTGCATCTTAGATGGCCACTTGAAAGCGTTTAAGACCCCAGTCACTACTCACCAATGAAGGATGTGGAGCAATGCTTTTATGTATTTTGTTGTGCCAATTGAGTCTGGTGCCCCCCCCAGTAGTATGGTCCTGAGACAGTAGATCTACTGGATCTCTCTCCCATAGTGTCTGGTTGTCTGTGAGGGATTACTCTGTCTGTCTTCTATTGTTTCTGTAAGGACTGCAGATATTTTGTATCACCGGTGCCTGTGCAAGATTAGCCTCAGCTGAATCTATCCTTGGTCTAGAATATACTTCTGTTCACTGACCCTTGTCTGACATATGAATGGATCTTTTTTATAACCCACAGACTGCCTGTTTTTAAATCAAGACCAAACAAGAGATCCAAGGTATGATTCCTTGGTACAATTCAGTCTTGGTGAATGCCTCCATACTTGAGGCTAGTTTTGTGGGTTTGAACTTCACACTTAAATTCCAAAAAGCTTGCTTTATTTTTAAGGTGACCTGAGCAATCGATTAAAGTCACATTTTCTCAAGCACCCAGTGAGCAAATGATGTAGCTTTTTCTTTTCAACCAGGAAATAATGAAGAGAACTTAGAAGTAACACTTAAGGGCTTTCCCATGTGTATATGATAGATTATCAGCTGATCCTTTAAAAATCAGCCACCTTATAGCAGAGCACCACGGGGAAACTCCTGGAGGACATGCTTTCAAAGGGTGGCTGAATCTTCATTCCTAGAAACCTAGTCCACACCTCCCATGAGGAAGTCATAGCTGGCTCCTGGTGTCCAGGCATATGCTCTTGTCCAATGGCTCCTTGAGTGGCAGACATGGAACAAAAGCCCTCAGGAGACAGGTGCTGTAATAGAAGGAGCCTGGACTTTGGATCCTAACTATGGTATACATGGTCTATTCAGCTGTTTTCTCAACTGTAAGGTGGAGATGATCATACCTACATCCCCTAGGATTCTTGGGCAGATCCCAATAAAGTGGTAACGTATATATCACACTCTCCATGGAGTGAGTTGGAACATGCAGAAGACACTCAGTAGGTGATAACTGCTGCACAACGTGAGTGCAGACACTGAAGTATCTGAGCTGGGTCATCACCTAGAGCCACTGGAGCTGTAAGGCAGACTTGACACAGGGCCTTCAGAGTTTATGTGATGAATACTCATTGCTTACACTTGTATCTTTCTCTCCATCCCTCTCCCTTTGGGAAAAATGTTTCCAAATTGCTTAAAGGGCTCTGCAATAATAATTGATGTTGTTTCCAACCCCTTCAGTGCCCATCACATCTCCCGAGATAACCAACATCCTGTGTCTACTAGTTTATCCCACTAAAGAATCTCTGATTCTAACTCTGAGCCAACCCTGAATATCCAAGGGGGTATTGATGTTAACATTCTAATTTTTCTCAGGGAGTCCTTAGAGGTCTATCCCCATCTAATTTGTCTGAGCTTCTCACATTACATATTCCTCCCAGGTTTTAAGAACCTTTGGAACAGATGCTGCTCTGGCTGCCAAGATCAAAATTTGATCTGTGAGTAGAAGTGTTCTTTCCCACATAATGTACCCTCAGTTATTTGAATCTCTTGCTCTCCCAGGCCTTTGACAGTCTTGGCAGCACCCAGTTCATCACTTGCTCTGTTCCCTGCTGCATTACTCAGTGTGGCCAAAAAGGAGCTGGAGTCACCCTCCATGCTCAGGAAAAAGGGTTGAGGGAGATCAACAGAGTAAGCAGACCCAAGAAACAAGAAGGATCAGCTCAAATTTGCAGAGGAAACCTTTATGTTTTTCTGTTTTTTTTTTTTTTTTAAAAAACACTAAAGAAGAAAGAGAGGAAGAAGAAGAGTAAAGAATAGAAGGAAGATATGGAACATGTGACTAATTGCTTCCATGAACAACTGCCTCCTTTGCCATGAGACCAGAAGAACTGGATGGTGCCCAGCTACCATTACTGAACATTGTCATCCAAGATTCTGTAGAAGAATCCTGATCAAAAGAGAGCAAACGCAGATCAGAATTCCAAATTCTTATGGCATTCAGACTTTCTGGAGCTATAGAGGTTGGATGAACCCCCAAAACTACTGCCCTGAGATAATCTTTAAATATTAAACCTTAAATCAAAAATCTCCCCTAAAGACTTAACACCAAACAATACCAAAAACAAACCAAATTCACTGCCGTCAAGTCGGATCCGACTCATAGCGACCCCTCCCTAGGTTTCCAATGTGGCATCTCTACAGAAATAGATTGCCCAGTCTTCCTTCCGAGGAGTGGCTGGTGGGTTTGAACCTCCAGCTTTCTGGTTAGCAGTCAAGTGCCTTGGGCACTACTCCACCAGAGCTCAATAGTTCTGCTTAATTAAGTAAAGAATATCTGCCTGGGCCATTATGTTCTTTTAAGAACTATCTATATATGGGATCAAATTGACAACAGCCACTTGAAGGGTCAGACAGGAAATGTAGGGGGCAATGAATTTATAATTTATAATGGAGGAGAAACAATTTGGAAAAAGAGGGGGAGAATGATCTCACAATTCAAAAAATGTAATCAGGGTCACTGAATCATACATGGAAACTGTTGAATTGGTTTATGTTCTGCTGTCCATATTCTCAACAAAAACAACAAAAAATTAGATAAATTGTTAACAAAAAAAACTCACTAAGACATGTATTGTCCTTGAAGAAATTCAAAAATTTTATGCACTCTTCGAGGTCGTTCCCACTGTTGTTGCAGTCGCACCACGGGGCCACACTGAGGCTGTTGGAGTCGATGTAGTTGGGGGTCATGACAGTTCCTAAAAGAGTAAATACAAAATGTTTCCTCTCAAGGGGTGACAAGGACTTTTCTGTGGCCTAAAAAGAAACAAATGCTCTTCTGACGATGGATGCACCGTGGATAATTACAAACATTGTGTTTGCTGAGTGGGAAATTGTTAAGCAGTGCATTTTCCTGGCAATTTATCTTAAACACATAAAATAATTTACACATTTACTTAAAAAATTATAACAGAACTCCTTGAGCTGCACTTAGGGTATTTTTTTTATTTTTTTGCCCTGCACACACGGTATGGATGACATGAAGTAGGTGAGAATTAACTCAGAATTCATGAGTTGCCAAATCCCTTGCATTTTCTTGAAAATGTCCATTAATCTTCATAAATAGATAGAACTGGTTTTATATATCTTAACAATCCTTTCAAGACTTTGAGTCCACTTCCTAAGAAGCAAATGGCTTCCTGAGAGGAACACAGGGAAGCTTAGAGGCTCTCCTTATGGGCCATCCCACATCCTGTTACATAAAATGAGGCCCCTGCTCACCAGGCTCTCAACTGATTTCAATAAAGCCTTCCAAATTAGGAAGGAATTGGAAACAAACAATGGAAATTCTCTAAGCCAATAGCTCCTAGAGTATTGTCTGTGGATCCCCAAAGTTCTCAGAGAAGTGCTGGGTGGTCCTGCCTGCCTGTGTCTTCCAGTATTCATTGTTTTTCTGATTAGTTCTCCACTGGCGAAAACAACAATGCATTCTTACTTAATATGAACCAAATGTCTTCTCCTAGATGGCTCATACTAGGCAATGCCTACCGATGCCAAGAAGCCTTCTGTTTTTATACATTTTGTAGAAGTAATAGGTGATCAGTGAGCCACAGGATATATTTGGTCCACAAACAGAAAAAAAGGTTTTGGTAAGCTCCTCTGGGTCAAGTGCATGCATATTTTCCTTGTCCTGAATTCCTTACTGACTTGACCAAGTAAAACCCCATTATAATTTTGGGATGAGAACTATATCTTGTAGAATAGAGGGGAGCCCCTGACTTTGGTTGAGAAAGGCCTTCTAAGGAACAGGCACCCTGCACACAGAGTGAGGAGGTTGAGGAGTATCTATTAAGCAACCACTGTATTCCTGAGGGGAGTTCTGGTGGTGTAGTGCCTAAGGCATTTGACTGCTAACCAGAAAGCTGGTGGTTCAAACCCACAGCCACTCTTCAGAAGGAAGATGGGGCAATCTACTTCCATAGGGATAATGCCTCAGAAACCCAAGGAGGGGTCCCTGTGAATTGGATCTGACTCCATGGCAGTACTTTGCATTGAATATTCTTGACACCATAGTGGATCCTAGGCTTATAAAGGAAGTGGGGGCAAGTTGTGTCCCAAAAGAAGTTAGAATCCAGTGACTCAGGAAGCAGTGCTGAGAGAAAGATCAACTTGAGACAGAAATGCCTTTATATCTATCCAATCCATTGCCTCTGCCAGTCATTTCCTTGCTTCTCATCCACAGGCATGGAAGGGTTTGCCAAGCCTAAGAATGACCTCACAGGAATGTCTGGCAGGACTGGACATGGTCACTCATAGAGGAGTTTAGTGAGTGTGTATGGACAACAGGAAGGACACAGATGGAAGTGTTCCTAGTGCTTACATCTGGAGAGTTGGGCTATGGATTATTGACATTTTCTCCTTCACTCTCCTCTGTATTTTCCTTTTTACAATGAGCATTCTTTAATTATTTTCATAATTATAATGAAATATGCAGTGCTATTTCTTAAATCTATAATTCCATAGTTGGTAATTCCTAATAAAAACAAACCCACTGTCATCGAGTTGGATCCAACTCATAGTGACCCCCTCCTTGGGTTTCTGAGGCGGTATCCCTTCAGAAGTAGATTGCCCAACCTTCCTTCTGAGGAGTGGCTGGTGGGTTTGAACCACCAACCTTCTGGTTAGCAGTCAAATGCCTTAGGCACTATGCCACCAGAGCTCCCAATTCCTAATAGAAAAGGGAAAGAGTGAATATTATTTTATTATTATTTTAAAAGTTAATATTATTTTATTATTACATCATTTCAGAAAAGGGAAAGAGTGAATGCAAATTTTGAGCACTGGCTTAAGAATGACATTGATTGGAAATATCAATAAAAATCATGAATAACTGGTGCAAGGTATTATTTAAGAGAATACAGGTATCTTTTCAGAAAAAAAGAAAGAGAGAGAGAGAGAGAGAAACAAGTGTGCTAGTCCCTTATCATGTCCCTGCATTAAATACTACTGGTTTTTCAATGGCTCTTGCTAAAGAAATTCTGGGAAGGCAAATTTAGCCTGGATGTTATTCTTTTTGTCTTCTTCATGTTTTATTCCATTTGTTTGAACTTCTAGGTCATTGTCAAATAATTACAATAAATGTGGCATCACTGTTATCCCCTCTATTGCCCCACTGCCCCTCCCCCATCTTCCTATCTTTTGTCTTAATGGATTTACCTACTCTAGATATTTCATATAAGCGGTGTCATACCATATTTGTCCTTTTGTATTTGACTTATTTTACTTAACATGTTTTCAAAGGGTCATCCACGAGGTAGTGTGTATCAGAACTTCATTAACCTTTACACCTGAATGAATACCACTCCACTGTATGGATGTACCACATTTTGCCACCACCCATCTGTCAGTGTGTTGTATTGTGGTGAATTGTGTGTTGCTGTGATCCTGGAAGCTATGCCACCAGTATCTCAAATACCAGTAGGGTCACCCATGGTGAACAGGTTTCAATGGAGCTTCCAGACTAAGACAGACTAGGAAGAAGGACATGGACATGGACGTCTGAAAAAACTGGCCACAGAAAATGTCATGAATGGCAAGGAAACATTGTCTGATAGAGTGGCCGGAGATGAGCCCCTCAGGTTAGAAGGCACTCGGAATACAACTGGGAAGAGCCATCTCCTCAAAGTAGAGTCAACCTTAATGACATGGTTGGAGGACCTTCCTTCCTTTCAGGACCTTCATTTGCTGATGTGGCATGACTCAAAGTGAGAAGAAACAGCTACAAACATTTGTCAATAATCTGAACATAAATGTACAGAATATGAATTGAGGAAAATTAAAAGTTGTCAAAAATGAAGTGGAATGCATAAAGATCGATATCTAGGCATTAGTGAACTGAAATGGACTGGTATTGGCCATTTTGAATTGGACAGTTATATGGTCTACTATGCCAGGAATGATGAATTAAAGAGGAATGGCATTGCATTAATTGTCAAAAAGGACATTTCAAGATCTATCCTGAAGTACGATGCTATCACTGATAGGATAATATCCATATACCTATAAGGAACATCAGTTAATACTACTATTATTCAAATTTATGCAACAATCACTAAAGCCAAAGATGAAGACATTGAAGATTTTTATCAACTTCTGCAATCTGAAATTGACCAAACATGCAATCAAGAAGTACTGCTAATTACTGGTAACTGGAATGTGAAAGCTGGAAACAAAGAAGGATCAGTAGTTATAAAATTTGGCCTTGGTGACAGAAATGATGCCAGCAATCACATGATGGAATTTTCACAACCAAGGACTTATTCTTTGCAAATACCTCCTTTAAACTATACATGTGACCTCACCAGATATAGCACACAGGCATTAAGTTGACTACATTTGTGGAAAGAGATGAAGGAGAAGCTCAGTATCATGCTCTTGTCAGAGCAAGGCGAGGGGAAGACTGTGGAACAGACCATCAATTAGTCATATGCCAGTTTATGCTGAAGCTGAAGAAAATTAAAACAACTCCATGAGAGCCAAAATATGACATGGATTATATCCCATCTGAATTTAGAGAACATTGGAAGAACAGATCTGATGCATTGAGCACCAGTAACAGAAGATCATGTGAGTTGTGGGATGACATCAAGGACATAATACATGAAGAAAGCAAAAGGTCATTAAAAAGACAGGAAAGAACTATGCAACACTAAAGAAAAATGTAGAATCTGAAAAATACCACATAATGTGGATGAACTTGGAGGACATTATGCTGAGTGAAATAAGTCAATCACAGAAGGACAAA